GAAAGTCAAGTTGAACATAAAAAACGGCCGACACAGTGTTAAGTGTAAAAAAGAAAAAAAGAAAAGACAAAAACTTTAAATGACATAAATAAGTCTCTGAATAATTATGTAATAAGGGAGAGGTAAATAGTTTGCACAAACCATTTACATTAAACAACATGAAAGCAACTACAAATCCCCACAAAGGCACACTGCAAAGATTTCAGACAAAGAAAACATTGATTAATGGCATTTTATAAAGTCAAAGTTTACTGTTAAGTTTGCATCATGGATATAAATGCAAATATGAAATGTTCAAAAGTCAAATATGTAGAGACAAGAATAATTTGCAAAAAAGCATACTATAAATATGTAATTTAACAACATGAATATGAATGCTTTATAGATCTCAGGATTTGAAATTATGGTTTCTTCTGTTTTTAAGTTATGTTGTCTTAATAAGAAATATATTTTCTCTCATTATAAAATTTATAGCTTTTCATGCAGACAAAATTCAAAATGAATTGGTCAACATTTTGATATCTAGATGCAATTTCTTGACGAATTTCAACTTACCTAACACCAACAATCATCTTGAATTCTTCCTCCATGGAGCGAACCATATAGCTATGGAAATCATATCTTGGTGTAAGATTGTGGTTCTGCCAATTACAATTTTGGTTCATTTACATACAGGGCACACAGTTCTTATGCATTTACATATCTCACACCTAAACTTACATATTTACCCGCATAGCACTCAAATCTTTAATATCACAACAAAAATAGCACTATTACCACTTTTTAAATATGAAATACAACATTCCACGCATAGATTTAAAACACCAGAGTGTTATGTACATAAATATGAAAGTTTAGGTGTGAGATAAGTAATTACATAAGAATTGTGTGCTAGGTATGTAAATTTCCCTAAAATTTTTTATGAATTCAAGTTATTACAAAGTAAAAACAGCATAAATAAGCATAAAAACTTTAAATAAATCATGGAGAGGATTATGGAAACATAAAACCAAATGAAGCTATGTTTATCTAAACCAGTGTGACTGATTATATGTACCGTAATAAAACCTCTGCGCAGTATAAGGTAATCAGCCCGCACCACAGATCGACCGAATTGGCGAAAAAAACAAGTCTGTGCGAAAATTATAATGCGAACATTATTTTAGCGCAAGTTGGAAGGAATGTGTTGGTAATATCAAAAATAAAGAGGGCTATTTTGGAATTATGGCCACAAGCATTACCACCCAAATAACAAAACTGTTTCTGCTCCAAGTTTTATAAGTATGAGCCTTCACAAATGATGACTGTCGTCGCATTGTTAATGGTATTGTTAATGCCCTTGTGATTTCTGTTAAAAAGAAAAAAACTTGATAATGCTTAATTAAACTTATGAAAAAAATGAAAATTATCATTCAAACCCTAGAAGTGAAGTTAATTAATGGATCAGATTGAAACTCTAAAGAAAGTATCTTGCAGAATGAAAGTTTTAGAGAAAATTACATGCATACCAAACAATTCTTATGTATTTATATACAATGGGGAACCATCATGAGAGTGAATATTAAAGGACAAGGCAATGCAACACCTTTTTTATTTCCACCATTTAAAATACGAAATGAAGATTTTCAAGCAAAAAAAAAAAGGTCGAACATAATAAATCTTTATAAAAGCTGAAATTCGAGGCATGAATAAACTAAGGGCCTGTTTGGGCTGGCTGCAACTTTTTAAATACGTAGTTGTAAAGTTGTGGTAGAGAAACAATTTATAAGAAAGCTTTACAACTATATATAGCTTTCTTATAAATTGTTTCTCTACCACAACTTTACAACTACGTATTTAAAAAGTTGCAGCCAGCCCAAACAGGCCCTTAGTTTATTCATGCCTCGAATTTCAGCTTTTATAAAGATTTATTATGTTCGACCTTTTTTTTTTTGCTTGAAAATCTTCATTTCGTATTTTAAATGGTGGAAATAAAAAAGGTGTTGCATTGCCTTGTCCTTTAATATTCACTCTCATGATGGTTCCCCATTGTATATAAATACATAAGAATTGTTTGGTATGCATGTAATTTTCTCTAAAACTTTCATTCTGCAAGATACTTTCTTTAGAGTTTCAATCTGATCCATTAATTAACTTCACTTCTAGGGTTTGAATGATAATTTTCATTTTTTTCATAAGTTTAATTAAGCATTATCAAGTTTTTTTCTTTTTAAATATTCAACCCCTTAGGAGAAATACATCATGAAGTTTCTTACACACGGAAGTGGGTTGGACTACCATGTTTAACCATGCCAACTAGCAACTGCAAACATTCAATAGGTTCAAGTAACACAAGAACTTGTTGAAAATACCTGGCATGGTCAACTTTCTTGCTGCATTTTCATCATATGATCCGACAGAGTGAACTCCATCTACAACTGTACTCCCCAACAGTTTATGGATATTACCATTAGGTTTCACTTGCAATGCCTTCAAAATTCTTTGTTGTGCAAACAAATCTTCCACCATTGTTTGTCACAATCTGAAGTTCTCTGTTTCACAAACTTCATTATCTCGAATTTTGCGCCAGACATTGTCATTTGAAATTAATTCTACAGTGAACTTTCCTACCTTGTATTGAAACAAAACACACCACAAACAAATTCAAATAAACATGAAATTTTCTCTGTCAATTGCACAATTTTCCCGCAGTTTCCTATGATTCGTGAATCAAATTTTTCACACGAAGCACATTTCCTGTTCGCACAAAAAATTCGGTTGAAATACTGCGGACACCAGTAAAACTCCACCTGTCACAAATTCTCCTGCGACAAACCTGCGAACAATCCGCGAAATTCGTGAACTGCACTTGCCGCAACTCCTCCTGCGACAAACTTGAGAACTCCGCTGGCCGAGCACCAGCTGTCGCAACTCTACCTGCACTAAACTTGCGAACTCCGCTGACTGAGCACCACCTGTCGCAACTGCACCTACCGCAACTCCTCCTGCTACAAACTTGCGAACTTCGCTGGCCGAGCACCACCTGGGCCGAGCACCAGCTGTCGCAACTCTACCTGCACTAAACTTGCGAACTCCGCTGACTGAGCACCACCTGTCGCAACTGCACCTACCGCAACTCCTCCTCCTACAAACTTGCGAACTTCGCTGGCCGAGCACCACCTGCCGCAACTCCTCCTGCGACAAACTTGCGAGCTCCGCTGGCCGAGCACCACTTGTCGCAACTGCACCTGTCACAACTCCTTCTGCGACAAACTTGCGAACTCCTCTGTTTGTAATCGCTCCTGTTCGCGGAAACTGCACGCGAACTCTTGTACACGAACTCCACCTCGCCGAATGCCACGAAAGTTTGTGAATTGTCGCGCCTCGAAGCCTTGACACCGCTTCTATCGCGAACTCCCCGAAGAAGAACTCACCGAATTGCCGCAACCCTTTATCTGACCTGCTTCGCACCTGTTTGTTCCCGCAAGCCCGCTTGCCTTGCGAACAATCCACAAAATATGTGTACTCCTCATGTTCGACATTGAACTCCTCTCCTCTGGGAAACTGACGAACCCTGCTCGACTGCCTCTGCTCCTCATTGCGGTGCTCTCGCACGTCACTCCAACAAAATAATTTGCTTCCAGGATTCTTCCTCCAGCAGCACAACACAGGTTCTTCTAGCAAAAAATGCAAATTGTCGACGTCATCAAACAGTGTAAATTCTTCCATTAGTAAAATCCTCTACAGCTTCGTGGATGTAGGCAATTTACCGAACCACGTAAATCTGTGTTCTTTTCTGGTGTGAATTTATCTCGTTTTATTTTTCACTTCATCGTTGATCGTTTCAATTAAATGTACCACAACCTATATATTAAAAAAATCAGACACCAACTTTATTACAACCACCGTATTTTAATATGTCAGGTTGAAAAAAATAACTTCCTACTGCAAAAATTTCTGAAAAACAACAAGAAAGTAGTTCTCCAAATGGAACTGTGGCGACTGTCTAAAACGTAAAGCGAGCTGAAGCTATCCCAAACATACCCTAATATGTAATTATTTTCTCTCTATTATACTACATTATTTTTTATGTATGTATATAAAAATCACCAATGGCACTAAGTTGAAACATTGAATGAGAATATCTTGACCAAAATTTAGTTAAAAACGAGCCTTAAAATTGTTAGATTTGCTTTGAGAAGAACACAATACCAAATTTCATCGATTATCCATGAATTACACTAATCTCAAAGCAGATATAAGGATTTTAAAACCCATTCAAGCCATTTTTTTTCCTAGCACTAACCAAGTAGATTCATTTTCACTCTATTTCAATGTATCCAACAATTATACTTGAGATAACAACTCTATGCTCAATATTATACCACCATGTGAATCATAATGATCCCTATGAGCCTCTTCTTCCCATTTCCTCCAAGTATGAATCTGCAAAAATGCAAAAACAAAATATTACATACCAACCAAATTAGGCTAAAATCAACTGGTTCTCAGGTTTCAAAATTATGCCTACTTTTATAAAAATTTGCAGAATAGGATGCATAAATTATATTTTCAATGCATGAAATAGAAGAATAAATCATGATATCATCCACCAACCTTCACTATGGCAAGTAACATAGTTAAGCAACTATAGGACACATGCGTTATAGCCATAACGAATATAAACCGGTGGAGTTGCTCCAAACCCTCATACGAAACAAAAGGCTCGTGCCCCTACACACATCAATATTTTAGGATTGGAAAATTAAAATTAAAAGGAGCATTTACATACATACCGCCGAATTCCTATGTATTCACATATCGAACACCTCAAGTTTACTTTTTTTACATTTCTAACAGCCAAATCTTTCATATCACATCAAAAATACTACCTTCACTTTTTTATGCAAAGGTAAGGTGAATGCATGCAAAAATTAAAGTTTAGGTGATAGATATGCCGGATTGCTTTGCGCACCTCTTGACATATACTTCCAGAATTGCTCATAATTTTCCTTCCAAAATGATGAAGAGCTAAATCCATAAGTTTCCTGTCCACATGAGATGATATGTTTTCGACATCCGTAGTGCCTTCTACCTCCGAATCTTTACAAGGTGAGAATTTGCTATTATAAAACATCGAGTCAATACAAATGCTTGAAACTGTTCTTGAAGTGGCCGTCAGCAAAAGTGATAAAAATCCCAGTAGCATCAATTCTGAATAAATAAAATATTTTATTAATAGAAAGATATCTTTACAATTTTTATATTAGCCGAGTCACATGGAAAAAATGAACTGAAAAAGGATAAAACTTTCATAATTGTTAAGGTATTGATTACCTTCTTTCATTTTCTCTAAGGCTTCAAATAGTGGATTTCTGTGGGTCTTCTTCAACCACTGGAATTATAAGCAGTATTAGAACTTCCAAGAGTGAAATAAGTGGATCAAACAAAAGTTATTTACTCTACTTTTAATGAAAACATTGGCAACTAAAATACTTCATCAATGCTGTATAATCATTTACAATTGTAGGAATTTTTTTTTTTTTAAACTAAAATAAACTAAAATTACACAATCCAAAAAAGAATAGGGAAAAGTAAAATTCTTCCAACACAACTTCATGGAACTCATTGCCTTCAGGCCAAAAGACTGCTTACGGTTTCATTTTTTACAGAGGTCAAACTAAAAAAGCTTCATTTTTTATCCATCTGAATTTTTTGTTGAAGAAGATATGAGTATCCGAAATCTCCTCGAAGGTTCTTAAGTTCAAGCATAGGACAGAACACAGACGGTAAATGCAGGAGAAACCATTTATCCAGTTAAAAGTAACTATTTTTATTAGAAATCATTCATCCAAACAGCCATTCTTGGCTTTTAACTAACCATGAATGGAAGAGCACTCTGAAAAAGTAGAGTGTGGCTAAGTGACAAGAAGACAGGAATACGTAAAACCTAATAACACAGTAAAGTAGGCGAATAACTTACAGAGCTTAACCAATGGATAGATCGCTCCACGAGCAGGGAGAGAAAAACAAAGATGGTTAGCACAGTTGAGACGGACCAAGTAGGAGTCAGAGCAAGTGAACGCATCTCCATCTCCAGACCTCCTCTCGACATTTTCCAAGCATTAAAACCTAAGAGCACGAAGAAAAAAAAAATTTAAAAATCGTAGCTTTCTTCCGAAAGGGGTCTAATGGCCTCAGAGAAAAGGTTAAACTGAGCACATTTCAAAATCCATTCTTCTGTACCTCATGTTTCCTCCTCCAGTAAAAATTCACACTTTAAAAGCAAAAGCAGTTCTTCGTCGGAGAAGATCAGCCAGCAGGACAAAGTACATATTTTTAAAATTTGCCTCTTTTAAAAACTCCGTCTTGATCACATTTTCCAGAACTCGAACAACAAAGCCATGAAGCTCAGTCTACCATGACAAGACACAATGATTTGGTTCTGTAGATTGGCAGATCCCGCATTCAACTCCGCGGAAAAAAGGCGCCTCTTTTGCGCTCTTCGTTCTCCGACGGAGAAGTTTCCGGCTGGCGGGAGAAGCCGGTAATTATAAATGGGAACTTCGAGCTGTGTGCGCGCGTCTGATGAAGAGCGAGTGACAGTGAGGGAACTCTGAGGCTCCTCCTTCGTTGGCTTGCCGCGTTAAATCCACTGGCTCAGCTCACAAACATCAAATATAACATGCGGGATAATGTACGCCAAATTTTTCCACAAAAAACATTATAATATCATCAATTCATATGTAATATTTGCTCCACAACAAGCGCCAAACAAGCTTCCATTCTACTTTCTTAAAAGTTGAGATAGTGTTGTTTTTGATATGATACAAGACCTTCAGATGGTATTAATATAAACAATAAAATTGAGATGATAGATATGTAAATAAATAGCGATTGGGATGTATGTATGTAAATGCCCTGTAGGAGAAATTATTGCGTGCGGACATCGTATGCATCTCTGCACGCAGTGTCCGATTCTGACCGTAGATCACAATGATCTACGGTCAGGATTATTTTCGTTCTTTTTTTTAAAAAAATCTAGGTGGGGCTCACCGAAATATATCGGGACCGTAAATCAGGTGACGTGCGGTGTCCGATCCGTATGGAATAATTTTTCCTGCAGCGGGAAGTAAGAACAGAAGAGGGGAGAGCAGATTTAATTATGTGGCCCTATGTATATTTGTCATATCATGATATATATAGTTATTAACCTAAGTTTGAAATGTTTCTAGTTTTATCTCAGCTAAGACTAGGCCTTCAATTCAACTTAAAAGAGAATTCTAGCCACTTTAGCGTGTAGTTTTGATAGAATAATTAGGCTATGAATTTAGCTCGAAGGTCGTTAAACGTCAAAATAAATGAGCATAATTATGAGAGAAAATCTTAAATCAAAATTTTTTTCAAGCTGATTTTGAGCCATGCATGGATGGGCTGTAACTATTTTGAGATCGGTCAATTATTATTTTTTATTTATGAAAATTATATATAATGTTAAATAAAATCGAATATAATGAGCTACGAGCTGGTTTTGAGCTGGAACAAAGCCAAATAACTCAATTTGAGCCATCTTGTTTTGATTTATATTAGGATCGAGCTGATTTTGAATTGGAACAAATCAAAATAACTAAAATTTGAGTCAGCTTGTTTCGATTTCGATTGGCTTGAGCTCAATTCAATTTTAAGCATGTTAGATATGACTTATATACCAGATAAGGGACATATGTTAGAGCAGGGAAGAGCTTGCAAGAGAATGTACTGTTTTTAAGAAATCAAAACGTCATCGTCTCTCATTGCTCCCAGACGTAAGCATATTGCCGAACCTCGTAAGATCCTTTGTATTCGATCTTGATTAATCTGTTGAGTCTTGTGTCTCTTTGCCCTAATTTCTCAAGCCAAACTCGATCTATTCGAACCTATTTCAAACCGATTTAGAGCTGATTTCAATCCGAACTAATTTCAAGCAGTTGGCTTGAAATCAACCTATCATCAGACCTAAGAGTAATTTGAAGTAGCTAAGTATTTTAAACGTCTCTTTCTTGAGAGCAATAATTGGTCATGCGAGAAGAAATTGAATTAGAATATTCTCATTTTAATTTAGCATAAATGCAAAAAGATTTCTTCCTGATTAATAAGTTTTTTATTTTTATTTTTATTACATTTAGTCAACATTATTTTCTTATTTTTAATATAAATCTTAAAATAAATAAATAAAGTTTTACATACATACCCATCAATTTCTACGAAATTACATATCTAACCCCTGAACTTCAACTTTTACATGCATGTAAACTTAGAGTAGCATGAAAAGAAATATTTCACTTTTTAAAGTTTAAGTTGTACACGGGAAAATGTGTATGATTGTATCGCATGATATTTATTAGATGATCTAAACGAGACGAAAATATCCAAGATATAAAGAAACTAAACAAATGAGACCCGATCAACAGGTTAACTTGAGATATGATCAACTGGGATGACCAATCAACTCAGGAGCGGACTAGGTAAAGGCCGATTGCGCTAAAAAATGAGTGGCAAACTCAAACCAAAGGCCGACTAAAAGAGATCAACCAACACAAAAAAAAAAAAAAAATGTAAATATCAAATTTATCATTTCACAATTATTATAATTTCATATAAATAGAGGAACATTAAATGTAATAAGAGTTAGTTGTTGGAGATTAATATTATAATATTTAATTCTTGAGTTGGTAGAGCAACGTCTCTGAAGGTCGTAGTCCCCTTAGATTACGGGTTTAATTCCTCCCCTGTGTAGGGTGTGATATTTGAATATTTAGCACACGAGCCAATTTTCACGCTGAATCGTATAATCTATGTTTAAGTTTGGGCAAAATAACTCTGAAATTGAATTATTCCCATCCATAATTGAGCTAGCTAAATCAAGGCTATTGGGACCACTTTACTTCTTAGAGAAATATATCTTTACTTAGACTTCCAATGCACATATAATTTAAAAGCTAACAGCTTTAATTACATGTGCTCATGTTTCAAGCCCTCTTAACCAAATTAGAAACTTATGACATCAAGATTATTTAAGAGGCATTTTGCCTATCAATTTTTATCTCTAGTTTGGCAAAAAGGATAAATCTTTTGATGAATTTGGCAAAAAGGATAAATAATTACTTTATCATGTAAATGGAAATACATGTGCTAAGTGATATCATAGCTCCAAAAATCTCAATTGTTTTTTTTTATTATGATTAATTTTATTAATGTTAACACGCACACCACATATGTAAGCCGTTTTATTCTGTTGGTCATGTTCTTTGTCCTAGGACCTTTAAGATTGTTTTTATATCTTGCATTTTGTCAAAGTGAAGCACACATAAATAAGTTGAAGATCAGGTGTTCCAACGTTGATTAAGTGCGGACCGACCAAACTCCTAGGGCTGTCAAGTTTAGTTAGGTCGGTTTAAATGTAATGAGTGTGGCTTGAAATCGGCTCGTGATTCATTATATTCAATTTCGAGTTAGTTTGGCTCGAAATCTAATTGAGCTCGATTTGACTCAAAAATCGAAATGAGTTGGCTCAAATTTAATTATTTTCAATCACTCCATCTCGAGATCAGCTTGATCTAGCTCAAAATTGAAATTAATTGACTCAAATTGAGCTATTTGGATCCGTTCCATTCCAAAATAAGCTCATGGCTCGTTATAATTGATTTTAAATTACATATAATTTTCTATTAAAAAAAATATTTTGAGTTGATCTCAAGGCAGTTCAAGCCAATCCATGTATGACTCGAAATTGATTAAATAAAATTTGATATGATCTTTTTGGCTCATAACTCAACTCGAGGCAAATTTTGAATCAATTTTAGCAAGTAGCTCTTGACTTTTAGGCCCCAAGCTTGGGCGCATCCAGTGTGTTTAATACATACATATAACAAAAAAAAAAAAAGATTTTTATTCCAATTTTTTTAGCATGTTTCTTAGAGCTTGTTGTTTCTTTCTTTTGATTTATTCGATTAACAATCCCGTGAATATAAAAAGCGTCGGAGATGTACATTTTGATAATTCTACATGATTTTTTGTGTTGGGTCGAAGAAAAAAATTGTTGGTTCAAACCCTACAAGTTTCTTCGTAACATTTTCCGAATTACATAATTAAATTTATTATAACGTGACACGGTGATTTTTTCCTATGTTCAAGTTTTTCCACCTAAAATTCATATATTTTTATGATTGTGATATCTTGGCATGCCTCTCTCTCTCTCTCTCTCTCTCTCTCTCTACGTACATACATGAAGGCCTAAACAACATACAACATAAATGCTGGGCTACAGTATCAAACCGGGAAGGAAAAATAGAACAGCAACATGATACAATAAAGACAATCCCAAATCAGATATAATCAAAACTAGAACCATCATCAAAGACATAACATTACATTAAAAACAAACTACAAAACCCAAAAAAAAAAAGAAAACCAAGACATTAACAGCACACATGATTTATGTTTCCAATGACTAGAAAGACTAACACAATTGCATTAACATTATATTAGAAACTTGAAATAATTTCAAGCTCCATCTTACACAGAACAGTGGCAGGTTGCTATGCATTTCACTTTGCATACCTGTCAGAGTAATAATACGTTGATTCAGCTTTCCTGCTCTGCTTTATTTTTGGTCTTACTGGACAATAAAGTTGTGGCTGCAAGTCTATTTGGCAAGGATTGTTTCACCGCAGGGGTTTGGGGAATGTATTCCATCACTGAATACAAGATTTCCCCTGACAAAAGTAGCCAATACTTTTCCTGAAAGTGTTTTTCCCATGTAGGCTGAAATATTCTGAACGACATAAAAATAAACTTTAGGTAAATACTGATATTTCAGTTGATGTTTCAAATTCACATGTTTTGAAAGTGAAAGATGAACGGAAAAAAAAAGTGTCACTTTCAAATAGTAAATTTGATTTCATGCTTGGAAGATCCCACATAAAAATAATGTCTTGAAACAATTTCGGAAAAATAAAGGGGAGCAAAGGAAAGTTCTTTTAATTTCGAGGGGAATTTATATACATACCACCCTATTCTTTTGTATATAATTGTAACACCTAAACTTTCATAATTCAACTATAGGGCAGCAGAATAGAAACTAAATATTTGATCGTTGATGCGATGTAAATTCTTACCGGATGTTTACTGAATGTTTTATAGCTACCGTCAAGCTCAAATTCCACTTCAGGATCCCAAACCACAAAGTCAGCATCTTTTCCAGGCAAAATGGCCCCCTGAAATAAAACATTGGAGAGAAATGTTAATTGAAGAATGCAATGGAAAATACATGTGCTGTTATGGCATAAAACTTATTATTTATACTCCCATGCTTTTGCATTTTTTTTTATGAAACGTTCGATTTTATTATAGACAAGCTAAAATTAAGCCACCTATAATGATGCTGGAATATCAGTGCTTTAACCATTCAGACCTGAAACCATGTAAAGTTTCCTTAATATATATTTTGTTTCAATCACAAGGCATACAGGGCAGCAGGAGGAATTAATGGTTAATTGCTGCAGTATCAGCATTTATTCTGATAAGCAGCAGGCAATGCACCGAGCAAAGGATAATTCCTTAGGATTTTATCCATTATATTTAGTTTTAAAACTTAAAATCTGATGTAATATTACACTTTTCTTTCTTAAATGGATACTTGCTAAATAACTTGTAGAAGACGTTCCTGCATTTTTTTTTTTTTTTGGCATTTATACCACCCAATTATTACGTAATTACATATTTAACATCTAAACTTTGATTTTTACATTTATAGCACCTAAATATTTCCTATCACAAAAGAAAAATGCCACTAATTTAACTTTGAAAAAGTGAAATACACTTTTTCATGCGTAGGTAAGGTAGCATATAAGTAAAATTTGAAGTTTAGGTGTTAGATATGTAAATAAAAAAGAATTGAGTGGTACAATCTTCCTTCTTTTTAGTAGCATTTCAGTGAAAATAATGCATTTTTTAAATCTTTATTTCAATTAATGTGATCTCGAAGTTAAATGAATTGCTTACCTTGTGTTCTTGGCCTGCAAATTTAGCTGGTCTCTCGCTCCAATATTTAACCAACTGCCTCAATGTCAAACCATAAGTTTTTCCATAATGCCAAGTAGCGGGAAGATCAAACTGTAAAAGTAAAAATCGATCTTTGATTAATTTATTTATAGAAGCAAACACAAAGAACATTGGTGGCAGATAGCCAAAAATAAGAAAGATTGGTTCAAAATAAATTTCAGAATATCATGTATTTATATATGAAAAATATGATTATTAGAATTATGTAAAACTAACGCCCAATATATCACAGGATTCATAGCATCTAGCATAATATAGTCGCTAACATGGAGCTAACAATAAATAGCACAATCGCCAGCATCATTCAATAACAACTTCATATGGGCAATTTGGAAGATGATGCACACAATAATATAAAATATTACACACGCAAGATTGGGAATTAAACTTCCACAACATAAGCTATGAATTTGAAGTAAAAGCTCCATTAAATGCACATTAGTTCCTAAGCCTAGCTGTGAAAATTAAGTCATATCGGAGGAGAAAACTCAAACCACAAAAGAAACATAATTATCATTACTAAAATTGAAATTGTTGTAACAATGACACTTCAAAAGAAGATACAAGATAACAAACACAAAACATAGGACGACACAAACAAACACCTCGAAAGTATATCTCAAGGGCGGTGGAGGTTGACTCAGTGGATCCAGAGGCTTGCGACAGCAAAGGTGGATGAGGGAAGGGGGTCGTCAGGGTTAGAAGGTGAACTGGAGGAGGGAGACAGCAGGTTGAGCAGGGAAAAGCTGGCAGCGATGGGAAGGGCCGGGACAACAAAGTAGCTGCTGTAGGGGTGCTGGTTGGCTGCCATGAGGGGCCTGAAAGGGCTGGACAGCAGGTTGCTGCAGCCGGAAGGGGCCGAAAGTGCAGGGGGAAGTTGTTGGGGATGGCCGGCTGCTAAGGTAAGCGAAGGAGAAGAAGCAGGGAAGATGCAATCATCACCTCGGAGTAGGATACAACCGAAGAACCACCACCTCCTTAAATACAGCCCTGCTCCCGCGTGGTCACGGCAAGCCCAGCGTCATTAGGTAAAACAAATCAAAGTTTGTCATGTTTTTCATTATCATGGGCATTAACATTTAAAACAATTTGGGGTCATCCTTCATGAATCCTTAACCATCTCTGGGGCTGAGTGGTCACGACAAGCCCAACATGATGAGGTGATAGTAAGTCCTTTTGGACAACCTCTTAATGATGATACTTATCATGCATTCCCTTTTTTTTTATTCCTTACAAAAAACCTTCAGAACAACAAAAATCCTTCATTCTTGAAACTGTACTAGCAACCATGTATTTTGGGAAAGCCTCTTCATTGTAATTAAGGGTTTGTTTGGCGTAGCTTAGCTTCCCAGCTTTTCAGCTGCAGCCGCACTGTCCCAGGAAGCTGTTGCTGGGAAGTTGTTGCGGGGAAGTTGACTGTCTGTTTGGTGCAGCTGTGTAAAAACAGCTGTGGAGTAGCTGTTTCTGGAAAAATGACTATGCTGCCCTTGTTTGATAAAACTCAAACCTCACACTACTCATCAAAGTGCTTCTGAGACTTCTACAACTTAATTTACTTTCAAACTACATTTTATCACTATATTCATCATTGATATAATTCTTCTGTGATTTCCACTACTCATAAAAGTGCATCGTGTTAAATATATCGGTATTCAAACCTATTTTCAAGCCAAATACTTGAGCTTATGGGTGAGGGCTGACAATATGATAGTTCAACAACAAAATTTTTATTTCTCCTAGAATCTCATAATGAACAAAACCAAGAGCCTTATGTGCCATGACAAAGATCGTGTATCAACAACCAGTTCTCTAGCAATAATTGTTAAAACTTGAAAGAAAGAGCAATGGAGATTAGCCAGTATGATTTCAACAAGTTGGACTGAGAACCACTAGCAATTAAGAAAATGAACAACATGATAAAAAAAACCACCAGAAGTTCCAAATTATGAAATATAGATCAAAAGTTTTCAAGGATAAGTGGCAGGCAAACTTAGCTATAATCTAAGACAATAATCCGATGTCATCATTAAAAACAAAATGCTGCAAGTACATGTCCACATTTCAGTTTTACCTAAACAGTCGTATTTAACAACGATTGAAATGTGGTTCAAGCCCTTTGTACCGGCGAGTCTATCGAAAATCAGTTTTTGATCAGGTAAGGCTCCTCTTTCCCCAAAATCGTTCCAAAAACCTACCAGCAAATTTGCAAAATTAAAAACAATTTTCACCGGTTTCCTTCCAAAAACCACATCCGTGCATTTATAAAACCCTCTTCCATGCCAAATTCACCTTCAGGATATAAGCTCTTCATTTATCAAATTACTGAAATCCTTTTCCCCGCCCCTCACCACCACACCCAACGATCTGCAACAACTCTCCCCACATAAACTCACCTATGGATTACAAGCAAGAGAATTATAAATTAAACCTTAACCGCTTAAAAATTGACATATTCCTTTACATCCGATCAATATAATCGATGAAAAAAAAAAATTTAAAAAACATAATGAGATGGCAAACAAGCCAAAAACGAGTGAAAGAAACACCTAAGCAGAATCCATCACCGATGTTACCAAAATCTCGATCCAGTCTAGGAGATGGATCCCACTGGTACTCCCATGGTGAGAGAGAACAAGTAGAACCGGTATTTCGAAGCAACGAGAAGGTTGCAGTTGCTGGAGTCCTTGATTTCTGGCTTCCTCCTCTCATGTATCGTGTGGGGTTAGTAGAGGTCAAAAATCGCGTGAGCAAGCCAGGCCAGGGGGTACTACTCACGGCCCGCGTTCGGCTCGAATCGCGACCCGCCGCAGATATGCTGTCGCACCAAATGACATAAAGCCGCGGCTCGGTGTCGCGTCGCGGCAAAACAGCCGCGCCAAACAGAGCCTAAGGGAGGACAGAGGGAGGTGGGATACCATATAATTTTGAATTTAAATCCTTTAACTGAAGAGTGTTAAAAATGAAACCTATCATGACAATAGTTTCATCGTTTAAGAAAATATAGACGATTCATTATAAAAACCAAGTCTCAAATTCATTAGTTTACACATAAAGATATTCCTTGGCGGCATCATGAACAAATAACAGGCAAAATAAAACTACAAAACTACAAAACTAATAACAGAATACTTACCCAAAAAAACATTCTATATGAACAAAATCAAATAATTTGGTAAAAAAAAAATAAGAGCATAAAACAGCAAAATAATATAAAGCAAGAAATAATGAAATCATGGATAATAAAGAACTAGCTAATGTAAAGTTATCTTCCCAGTTAACGTGAGGCAAGTCTAATAATCCGCTTTAAATAAAATCTACAAATAATGCAAGAGGCTCTTTAAGTGCAAAAATTGAAAAAAAAAAGAAAAAAAAAGAATGCGGTAGTTAAAATATATTATCATAATAATTAAAGCACGTAAACCTACCTGCAAAGAAGATACTCCTCCCCATGCCCTTAAGAAATCACCTTCCTTAAGAAGTTTGAGCTCTGGTGTTGTTGGTGAATGGTCAGAACTCAACATGTCGATGTCCCCCTCCTGAAATTCAACAATTTGCACATTCCATGTAAACATTCAAAGCATATAACAAATGAAGAATATTACAAGAGAGTTCACATTACCAGCAGAGCCTCTCGCAACTTTTGCCGATTTGCTTCATCACGTATAGGAGGAGCGCATTTGAATCGAGTATCACCATCTTTAATCTCCTCTGCCGAGAATGCCAAGTAGTGTGCACACGTTTCTACACTGACACTAGCCCCAGAACTTTTGGCTTCCTGAAGATAATGGCATTGCACTATGACCGAATGCATGGAAATGCATCCCTAATAAACATAAGAAACTCTAAAAAAATTCTCTAGGTTTTTTTTGGGGCATGTATATGCCTAACACACAATTCTTATGTATTTAAATTCTCACAACTAAAGTTTCATATTTATACACATAGCACTCAAATCTTTAACATCACAAGAAAAATAGCACTGCTACCACTTTTTAAAAGTTAAATACACATTTTCATGCATAGGTTTAACACATCAAAGTGCTATGTATGTAAATATGAAAATTTAGGTGTAAGATATGTAAATACATAAGAATTGTATGCTAGCTATGTAAATCTCCCTTTTCTTTTTTTAATTTACTGTAGGTAGAGAATATCTACATAAAAAGGCACAAATCATCAGTTTCATTAAGACTGCTACTTTACTCGAGAAGAATGTAGAGGTTTGGAAAATCAATGCACAAATCAGTTTAAATAGACGGTAAAATGAATGAGAAAGCTGATGTTCCAAACAAACAATAGCAAGTGCCTTCTGAGGTAATATAATGCTTAGTACAAATGCAACATTTGAATATTATGAAACATTCTGTTCTACTGTTGAATTATGGGTCATGCTCAACTATAAAAAAAAAAAAAAAACATTGTATTTTGTTATTGCAAAAACAGAATTAGGAGATGTTAGGAAACATAATAAGTAAAATGGATGTCAAAATTTAAAGCATGGTTTTTTGCAAGGTCTGATTCCAGGAATAGAAATTTGGATGATGTTATAAATTAGCACAAGATTGCAATTTTATGCATTTCCATTGTTTTAATGTACTCATCATCAACAATATGAAAATAAGGTACTCAATCCTACTAAAATGTCATATCTAAGACAGAGCTATACCTTGATGAGGTTTAGTGAAGTTCCAGCATCTGACAAATGCACAATGTGAACATGAGCACCTTCTGCCGGACCACCTACTTTTGTCTCTTCCATTGCTGTTCTCAGCTCACTAATAGCTTCTATCTCCCTGCTCATTTTTATGGATATCACAAATGCTTCATATAAACTAAGATGAAAATTTTCAAGCAAAAAAGCATACCCAACAAAAGTAAAAAAATAAATAAGTAAAGATGGCGGTGGAAGATGACTTTCATTCTAGAGAAAATATATGCCATTGTAGGACTGGGTGACAATCAAAGTTTAAAAGTAAAAATCTAAACTAAAGTGTTTTTACCCAGTCAAACAAGACATAAGCTTTAAGGTGGATTAAGAATTAAAGAGAGTTATAAGATAATAAATAAAATATTTAAAAAGAAATTTATTTAATTTTTTTCCTCTAAGGTTATCTGCTTAACTTAGAAATATGCGCAACCGCTCAAGCACTCTTAGATTTGTTCTCCCTCACTCGTAGCTGCTACCAGTGCTCCCCACAAATGGCTTTCTCACTCTCAATGCTCCTCACTCGACGACCTTAACGCTTAACAGTCGTAGGGAACCAATCTGAGCAATCTCCAAGATCACCACTTGTTCATCTCTAAATCGTAATCTAAAAAATTTAAACCAAAATTATAAACTGTATTGGGTGTATTATAATATCATATATATATATATATATATATATATATTTTTTTTAACATTATAATTTCTAACATTATACTTCCAGACGTAAACCTCAAACTCCTCAAGGCATTAAGCCTCAGGCATATAACTCAATCAAAAAAGGCATAAGGCTTAACACCTCAATTCTTTGTTGGTTTTCCAGTCATCTATTAGCCGTAGCCATTTAAACATTACCTTGTTTTCATTTCCAGAAGTTTTAGTCCAGCCTAATCTTCCTTTTTTTCTTCATGTCCATTTAATTTCATTTCTTTGTTATTTTTAACAGCCCGGTCAGTAATCAATCACTTCTTGTCTTCATATTTGGCATTCAGATCTACAAGATTACTCCCTCGAGTCGGTTGTACTAAGTACTAGGGACATTTATTGCCACAATACAGCCTTCTGGGTCCTTCCAATTTATTCTTTGATCTTCTAAAATGATTTTCAACCATAAGGGTTGACAAATTCCTATCGACGTCAATATAGGTTGCATGATGCGACATGGCAGAACACAATGCTGAAGCAAAATAAAGAATAAAGCAATGTTGGACTGGGTTGAAATTATTTAATCATCATCAAAGAGGACTTAATGATTCTGCTCACAAAACAAATTGAGCCGATTTGAAGTGCCAAAACTTCCACAAAGGAACATTCCACGGTTTATTCGATCGAGTGCAATGAAAAAGATTGGATACAAGCACGACATCGCGCCGGTCAGGCCAAAATTGCCCCGAACGCCAATGAAATCACCTAAATACCCTCCATTCATACAACGGTTATTGTCAATATATTAGTGACGTCAAAATTAACTAGAATAAATATCCATATTGGTCGGGCATCCACACAAATGCTAAATGCAAATTTGTCCATGCGCAAGTGCATGTCATGAATTTTGAGACGCACGATTTTAATAGTGAAATAATCTAATCTTTATACAATTTTTAATTAATCTAAATTAAAAACAAAATAATATGAACTAAAAAAGGTATATATTTATACATTTTAACTTTAAGTTAATTTTATGATTTATACTAAATTATAACTAAGTTAAAATTAGATTATACATATAAATAAAAAAATTAATTTAAATCGTGTTCCTTGTTCGAATCCAACTAACCATGATCCCAATACCTACTCTAGCCTTCTGTTGAAACTAGAAAAAAAGATATTAAAATAAAATAAAACCTAAACTACTCTTCCTATCCCCTCACTTCATTTTCACAGCCTCCTACTCAGACAAAATAAAAACTCTCTCTCACTCCTTTGCACGACCCAAAAAATACTCCCCTTTGCTTCCTGTTTGCTCTCTCACCGATAAACGTCGCCCCATCCCTGTACCCAGCCTAAATCTCTGATGTTTGGCGCATGTCTCTTAACTGAACCCATCAAACCTTTTAGTTCCCAATTCCATAGCAAATCATACATCCAAAGCTAAAATAACCTAAAACCACCCTCAATATCTACAGCCAACCACATGCCTCTCGCATGGAAGCCCTTTGTACGCCACCTACCCAAACACAGAACCACCATTCCCAACCACTCCACTCTTTGCTCTTCCATCTATGCTCCGTGCACAATTCCAACTTTTCAGTTCTGAACTCCAAAACTCGCACATGAAATTTCCTTCATTGTATAGTTTAGTATAAGCACTCAAACACAACCTATTGTATTTTTTTCCCCTTTTTTTTTTCAAACCATTCATCTCTTCCTTCCAATTCTTCTTTCTATAGCCTCAAAAAAATCTTCTGGGGTTCGAATGACACGGATTTGATAAAAGAGTATTATGTGAAGGGGAAAAACTTTCAAAGGATTTGAATTGAGTTATTGGGTATAAAAGATGATCACCGCATTCTCTAGTCCTTTCCTAATAATAATAGATTGATCAAAATCACTCCTACTAAGAAACATATGGAGATATTAAAAGATGTACCCGGTCATTAATTCAAATTCCTTATTCCTTGTAGCCTGTATCATATATTTTTTATTAGAGGTTTATACCCAGCTTTCAACATAAAAATAAAAAAAAATCCGGAATGAGGGAGGAAGATAGAATAAAAAAAGAAATTTCTTCAGCCTTGGTGAACACTTCTAACTTCTAATTGCCTTTCCATTTTCCTAAACCTGCAGAGCATTGCAAAAAGACAGTTGATATATGACATTAATTGGTGGTCTACCATTACTATTTTACTCTAAGGAGTCCTCTGACAAGTCACCTGCAAATTTTTACCATCTATGAAGAAATCAACAAAAGTCCTATTCCACAAAAATGAGAATCAATAAAAAAAGTCAAATAATATTAACACAATACGCTAAAAAATAATCAAAGACTAGAATGCAAGTAAGGATCGTAAACTTTGTTCTAAACATTACAATCAAAGCAAAACAGTGCCATCCAAATAGTGATTTCAGTATTAGAAGAAATTTTAGTGCATAGTCTCAAGGCATACTTCGAAAGTGATCCATTAAAGCTTACCAGGATGCTGGCCTTGTCTTAAGATAAGTTGAATAGGACCTAGGATCTGAAGCGGCATCGATAGTTTCACCATCACCATCACTATTAGGATTAACCTCTGCATGGACGAGCAGAGGTCTTTTATACTTGGCTAAGGTATACAACCCTTCCTGCAAAAAATATCCGAAAATTGTTGCTGAAATTATTTTATCCATTCACAAAGGTAATATTTTGTTGTTTTTATACATGAAAAATACGTCCAGCATGTTCTATGGAGAACTCATAAGAAAGTAAGTTAACATTTTCATATGTAGAAACAGCTTTGATTCATGAAAGAAACTCACCGCCCTGCAATAACCTGTCCATGTTATTATAGACTTGTAGTTAGCCAAAAAAGAAGAAAAAGATAAGAAACAAGTAAGGTGCAGAAGGAATCCATCTTCATTGATAGGAACCACTTCTAAGCAATATATCGGAAATAATCCAAACAAAAGCACCGAATAGTCCCGACATGGAAATTATTTATAATAAAAATTCACATGATTAAGCAATCGTATATGAAGTTCAGACAAGATATTGGGTGCCTAGATGGAATGTCATGGATTTAAACAAATTAAATAACAGAAATCTGAACGCACCTTGATATGTGTTATGTTTGTCATGGGAAAATCATTAATTCCAGAAGGCAACATAAATGACTGCAAAGAAAAGGAAAGAAATTGTCATAAACAGTATAAATCTCCAATTCTATATGAAATATTAAACTAGCATGCTCATGAACAAACTTTAACAATAACTTCCAGTTATCAACTACAAGGAAAATGCAACAATGTTGAATAAATACGTAAAGTTTATCATACAGCTTATAAATTAATTAACACCACTGATTTGAAGGGGGTGAGCCAAGTGTCCAAACATATTCATATTGTGTTTGGTTCACTTTCTCTGTTATTGTTCAAAGGGGGGGATGAGAAAAGGACTATTACAAGGAGCTGTCATCAAGTTCAATTTAAAAAGGACAGCCATCAACTGCAATGCTGTAAAGGTAAAAGTGCAAAAATATCTCCCAAGGACAGGCTAATTGAATACAAGGGTAAGGCAAATAAAATCAGTACTGATTCCAAAAGTTTTTTTGCTAAATTTGGTGCCAGAGAAATAATTTTTTTACTTTTCAAGTTGCTGCCATAGATAGTGAGAAGAGAGGATCAGAGAAGTTAAAGTTGAATATCCATAAAATATATCAAATTCCTTTTGCCAGGATGGCATGTTTGAATAATTAGAAGATTGGGGTGTTACACTAATAGCACTTACGAATTGTTCATGATACGGGAAATTAGATTAGTCTATTCTTGTATGCCAGCAAAAGGTTCACTTCCGCATACGATGCAGTATGACTTCAAAAAAATTTTGATAGAACCACAACCATGCTTACGATGCAATATGGCTATTGCAGCTCCCTACTAAAAGATGGACGCTGAACAATTCAAACATATTGTTGTAGAATTCGGAAAGATACGCATATTGTATAGTGTAAAACCACAAAATATTGGAGGTCTACTTAATAAGCACCTTTAGCCCAAGTACACCAGCTCTCAGAAGTCTATCCAAAATAGTTGTATTTAAGGCATTCTCTGGTACAAGACCACCCCAGAAACCTGGATATAAAGACACATGTTTAAGCTTGCAATAATAAAAAAAAAAACTTTGGTTTCTATGAGTCGGGGACAACACAGCATCACAGGTAACAAAATAAAACAAAACGGTAAACGTAAAAGTTCCAAGCATGATATTTATTCCTGGCATCTTTTTCTTTCTTGAAATAACCTGAACTTTGAAAGGATCTTTTTCTTTCTTGAAGTAACCAGAACTTTGAAAGGAAACGTTTTCAATACAAACATATATAGATAGAAATTCATTAATTCTCATAGAAGTACAGGAATATGATAAGTGATAAAATATTAAAGAGAAGTAATAAATGCAGAATAAGATTAAGAAAATATAAAACAAAAGTAAAATAAAATATAACTAGGCAAAAGTGGCAAAGGTTGTGCACAACATGTTTGTGTCCTGTCGAAGTGCTTTACAAAAGGTATCAACAACAGTAGAAAAATAAATTGGGAGATGTGTAGCTTTAAATAGTGTAAATGTAAAACGTCATGATAGCTCTGTAGAAGAATATTTGCTTCAAAAACATCTTGCAGTGATGGAAAGATCATAGGTCAGGTAAAATATATGACCAAATGGTAGCTTGAGATTGTGCTTGAATTGTCTGATTTTTACCATCCAACTTATTTTTTTCAAAAATGTTCTAATGACAGATTAGAAGAAATTAAGTTGAATTGCATAATGCTGGTCCTACCCTTGCCATTAAAAGGAAAGTTTGGTTTACAAAATCAATGAGTTGTAAGAAAAATAAAGAATAAGAAACATATCAAGGAGTGTTAAAATACCACCCCAAGAACCTATATTTTGATGTACATGAAACGTGAAATGAAAATAACATGAGAGCATGTGCCTTGTTAGAGAAAGAGAGTATCCTGATGTATATCATTCATAAGAGAATCCACCAATTTGTAATAGAGGAACAAATATGATACCCAAAGAATCAACAGAATAAACATAATCCATTAACAAAAAGTAGGAGATTTCCTCAGATAATTTTTAATGCCAACACTCCCGCTACGTAGGGGCAAGCATATTAACAAACTCCAGCTTCTTCTATAGCTGGAAAACTCAAGTGCACGCATGCCTGTGGTAAACATATTAGTCAATTGTTTCAAACTGAAAAAAGTATATGATCAACTTTGTTAGCACAACATCCCAAAGAAAGTGGCAGTCAGAATCGAAGTGTTTGGTTCATTGTTGGGAGAAGATTCTAAGAAAAAAGATCCCTCACGGCAGATATCTTAAAGGTTAAACCATTGATCACCATCCTCCTTTCTTCAACTCATACCATGAGAACAATTCATTTAAAGAAGGGAGATTTCACAGAATTTGGATTCAAATTCATTATTGAGTACTGCCAAAACCTAAAAAAATTCTCTCAGAATCATCGCATCTTCACAACATGACATATTAAGATAATAATCCAATTCCAACTAAACTTCTTGGTATTAAGTTATTCAATGACAAAAAGATTAACTTATTTGGTAATAACAAGCTTTGTATTAATTTCATAAATAAGTATATTGTTTACCATTGAGTAAGTTTATTTAAATGCATCTCAAACCTCTTTTATGATGGAGAGAAACATAAATGGCCCACTAATATCCAGTAGTTTAGTATTCTACAATAATGTCATGATCATAAAATTAGCTCCGTCCCAACGTACGAACTTCAGGTCTTTAGGCTTCGAAAATAGATCTACATTGTGTTGTATCTTTATATTTCCTTTCATAAAAATATTTACAAGTTGGGATCATTTAAAATAATTTTTTTTTCATTTAAGAAGTAAGATGTTTGAAATCACTAGAGTTGCCCCTTAGTCTGATTTTCACCATAAATCATGGTTGATTCATTAAAAAAAGAAATTCAAAGAGCTCAGACATAGTGAATAAAAAGAATTCAACAAGAGGAATAAGATTGGAAGTGAATAATCCTAACCTTAGAAGAATATAATAAATGTTAGAAGAACAACACTAATTTCCTAAAAGTATAGGAATTATTTGGAAAGAAAAATTGCTTAATTTTATTAATCACATGTAGGGTACATATATAGGGACATCAATCTCTCCTAATTTACAAGCTTACCAAATATATCTAGCCTAAATTAGGAAATGAAACAATTCTTAAATAAAATAAATAAATAAATAAATAAGAATGGAATAAAGATAAATCAAGAGGTTTCCAAATTGATCTCAAATCAAATCTCCCATAAGATCTTAGATAGCTGGCTGGTCTATGCTAGGAAACACCACCTAAAACTTCTCAAGTTTCCACACTCCCCCTCAAGCTGGGTCATAAATATTGTAGAGGCCAAGCTTGGTACTAAACTCTGATAAAGTGCTTAAAGGAAGATCATTGGTGAAGACATCAACTTATTGGTGTGTCAGGATGTAGCTTAGTAGTATAATTCCCCCATTATACTTTTCAGCGATGAAGTCTATCAACTTCGTTATGTTTAATCCTGTCATGATGCGCGGGATGCTTGGTAATACTCATAGCTACTTAATTGTCACAAAACATCTGTATAGAACTATTGGATGTAAATTTCAATTCCCTTAACAATTTATGAATCCAGATCCCTTTAAAAATTTCCAAGGTAGGTGTCCTACACTGTGATTCCACACTGTTTCTAGAAAACAACAGTTTGTTTCTTACTTCTTCATGTAACCAAATTTTCCCATTCATATGAACAGTATTTTGTGATGGATATTTTGTCTACGAGTTCCCCAGCCTAACTAGCATCATTGTAGAAACATAGTTTTTTTTTAAATTAATTCATAACCCAGAGCCTTCTTGAAAAACCTCACTACTGTATATCATTTCCAAATACTTTTCATGTGGATTTTTCATGTGTTTGCTCATGATACTGACAGGGTATGCAATATCTGGTATAGTATGTGATAGATAGATGAATTTTCCTATCAATCTTTGGTATCTTCTTTTATCCACAGATATATTTTCTTCTTCCTTGTTAGACTTCTTATTGTGTTCCATTCAAGTATCAACAAGTTTGCATCTAATCATCCAAGTTTCCTTTAATAGATCTAAGATATATTTCCTCTGTGAAATAATAATGTATTTCTTGGATCAAGCTGCCTCAATACTTATAAAATATCTTATGTTTTCTAGGTCCTTGATTTCAAATTCAACGACAAACACTTCTTTGATTTTAAAAATTTCTATTTCATAATCACCATTACGAATCATATCATCCACATATACGATCAATGCAACAATTTTCTCTCTAAATGTATTTTATGAATAATGCGTGATTAACTTAACTTTGAGAATATACATTGGATTTCATAGATCTAGAAAAGCTTTCAAACCATGCCCTTTGATGATTGCTTAAGCCCAAAGAAAGACTTCCTTTGTTTGCATACTACGAGTTTGTTGGAATTGTTCTCAAGTTTTGGCGGTACTTCCATGTACACTTCTTTCAGATCCCAAATAAAGGAAGCCATTTTTTATGTTCAGTTAATGCAGTACCCATTCCTTCTTAACTGCTACTAAAAAGAAGAAATCTGAAAGTATTCAGTTAGGCAATTGGTACGAATGTCTCCTGATAGTCAATCCTATAAGCTTGTGTTAAACCTTTTGCAGCACGTCCGGTTTTGAATCTCTCAATACTCCCATCAACTTTGTATTTGAGATTGAACATCCACTTGCTTCAAGTTGGCATCTTATCCCACGGAAATTTACTAAAAATTCGTGTGTCATTATGTTATAATGCCCGAATCTCCTCTTCTAATGCTTTCCTCCATTTTGAATTTTCAAGTGCTTCACGCTATAAGCACTTTGTAGACTAAGGATAGCTTCTCATAAGCTACATACTCCTTGAATTGTGTATCTAGTGCAGCCTTCATTGACATCAGCACCATAAGAGGAAAGGGATAACTTATTAGTACTAGACTCCTCACCTAAAATTTTATTTAAATGTGGACTTAGGTTTTGGTTGGAGTAGTTCTGTCTTTGCAAGTTGTCTTCCACTTACTCAAGATTTTTCTCTCCTAGTGTACACATTAAATTCTTTGTTATAAAATTCAGGTTGGGTTGGTTGGATATCCTCAACAGGAGTAGGAGAGTCAGGTGGAAGAAGAGTAGGCGGGGTTGTCGTGTAGGTGTCATCAAGTGCATCCCAAATTGATGTTCATTTGCACTCTTCTCCTGACCATTAGATTTGGGATAGTATGATTGATTTAAAAAAGGACATTCATGGAGTTGTATTATTTTCTAATAACATGAGAGTAACACTTACGCATTTTTGTTGGAGGTGTACTCAAGGAAAATACACTTAATAGATTTAGAGTTAGGTTTGGTGCAAGCTGGGGAATAAATGTGAACAAAACATACACATCCAAATATTTTTAGTGGTATAATAGAACGTGAGAATAGTTGACCATCAAAACAGTAAGTGGTGTTTTGAATTAAGTACCTGACTAAGCATTCAAATGATAAGAAATATTAAAGTAAGAATTGTTTCCCCATAAAAATATTTTGGAACTTAATGATAATTCATGATTAAGTAGGATACTTCGAGGAGATGCGTGTTCACTCTATGTTATCTCGTTTTGTTATGGGATATCAAAATATGGACACATATGAATGATTTCATTTTTTAAAAGGTAAGACCAAAGGATGGAGTTGAAATATTTGTTTACATCTTGACGATCTTAACTTTGTATTGGAATTGAATTTAAATCATTTCATTGAATGTTTAAGAGATTTCAGTTGTTTCAGATTTCTCCTTCATTAGTTTAAGTGTGATCGTCAATGAGACAAACCATCTAGCCCTACTTTAGATTTTCATCTTTGAAGGTCCCCAAATATCACTGTGAATAATGAAAAAAAGACGGAATTTATACCGACTCATGGGGTAACTATTTCTAGTGTGTTTGACAAATTGAAAAATATCACATTTATTAAAATTAAATTTTTATTGATAAACAAATGAAGATACAACTTAATAACATAGTTGAAATAGGATGACCAAAGCAATAATCCCATAGCATGACCTGTTTTTGAAAAAATATACTCAAAACTTCAAAATTTGAGGTAAATATGGAGATGGATCAGATGTGTGTTTAGAGAGAGACTTTCCTTGAGCATGTATAAACCTTGATGCATTTCAACGTTGTTAATCACCTTTCCCAATTTCGCCCTTTTGAAATTCACAAGATTTTGTAAGGAATTTAATTATGCATTTCATATCATGAATTGCAATCCAACTGTGAAACATATAAAATAGAGGAAAGAATAATATCCTGAGAGAACTCCACATTTCCTTTCAGAGCACGATCAAGATGTAGAAGCAGCTTAATAGTTGACTAGAGCAATGATTTCTCTTATCATATGATCAGAAGCTCCTGAATCTAAAATCCAATTTCTAAACCTTCCATTATTGGCCACATCTCTTTTCCTAAAAATATTTAAGTGTGATCCATCTGCAATTCTTACCGATCTAGATGTAAAAGCCTCTGAATTGACTAGCCACAACATCTCAGAAATTGTGCCCTCTCCCGTAAAATGTTCATTTTTCCTTCTACCAAAAATGTGTACAAACATGAATTGGTACCATTGAAGGAAACTATGGGCATTAAGTTTGTGATTTGTGATAGAGTTAGAAAGTTCAAGAGTTGTTTGGACAGAATCCCTAATCTCTGATTCAGATTTAACAACTAGAGTAGAACTTGACGTCTCATCATGTACTTTGTCATCAACTGTAAGGGTATTTAGGGTTGCTTCTAGTTGTTGGACTACAGTTGACTATACCTCCTTCTTGCTGTGTTGCTTGTTGTTGCTGCTTTCGACTTGATGCTAACCGAAGATTCAACCGGAGAGGGTCTGTAGCAAGGAATTTTCAGGCTGCAGACAGAATTTTGAAGAAGGGGCCTGCAGTAGGGACAATTTCTGATGCAGGGAAGAGTTGCAGAAGGGTCTATAGCAAGAAATTCGGTTGAGGAAGTTCCGGTTACCTGCAAGGAAGAGTTTCTAGCCGCACTAGCGAGGTTCGGCGTTAGTAGGAAGGAGATCCGGTTGCAAAAGGGAAGTTCGGTACTAGCAAGAAGGAGATCCAGTTGCAGAAGGAAATTTGGCCTAACAGAGGTTCGGTGACTAGGGTAAGATCTGAAGCTCTGATACTATGTATAAAAATACTTGGGAACGAAAATTTCTTAATTTTGTTATTCACATGTAAAGTACATGTATACAAACACCAATTCTTTCTAATTTACAAACCTACCAAATATATCTAGCCTAAATTAGGAGGAAAAAATTGTGAAATAAAAGATAAAGAAAAATAAATAGGAATAGAATAAACATAAATCAAAAGGTTTCCAAATTGATCTTCAATCAAATCTCCCATAAGATAATGGATAGCTGGTCAATCCATGTTAGGAATCACCACCTGAAACTTCTCAAGTTTCCACAAATACCATACAAAATAAAATGAAGAAAAAACTCAAGAATTTTTAATATTCGTTCTTTCTACAAGAAGGAATATTTATACCTCTCCAAGAGGCATTACAACACAAGAATAATTCAAAAAACGAAGAGAAAAATAAGAAAGGGACAACGTTCCTCTAAAAGGTAACAGTTTGCAATCCAAAGTCCATAGAAAGGATGATCCAATGGTATAAGGCCTTGATTTATGTGTCATAAGTTCTTTGTTGTGATTGGTGAGCAAGTAGGCACCACGTGACTGTGGCATGATACTGTCACATGCTATTGTAGCAAAAATTCAACAATAACCGCATGATATGTCATGTGTTATTGGAGCATAAATTCAACAATAACTTTAAACACTAAGCATAGCTCAATTTCTACACTGTTTGGATCAAGAAATTATTAAACTCACAAGTGGGCCACGTCTATCAATGTAATGTACAACATAATATAATAAATGATGTTTTTAATCACTATTATAATGATACTAGTGTCAATTTGAATTAACAGATTAGATTCAGGTTTGATCGGATTTTTAGCCAACTCAAAGCAGCAAGACCCAAACCCAACTCATACATTAAATAAGCTAGCAATTGGACTCAAACCTAATTCAAATAACCCGCCTAACATAAAGCATAATAGCCAGATTCAGGTTATCGAATCAGATCATTTTTTGAAAACCCCTAAACAGTATTATTATAATTAGCATCAAACACCCAACATTCATGACGTTTTGTGATCACAAAACAGTAATCTGCCAAAAAAATGAAGAAATATCAATAAGAATAAATGTATGGTTATGACATATCAACACCCTGCAACTAATTTTGATTTTACATGCCAGAAAATGATCACAAAATCAACAATAATGGATTTTTAAACATAGATGGACATGTGATTAGTTTTCAATTATGACAAGTTGAGTGAGATAGCTCACCAACATCAACATAGATTTTCTCTCGAGCTGCCTCGACCTGCAATATCGAATAAAACACAGTTATCGGTCAAATACAGCATATATAAATTAAAAGGAATGGAGATTTAGGGAAATGAACCTTAAGTTTCAATGCTTCCTCGGTCACTGTGACAGGAAAACTGTTAAGAGGCATGTCAATTAAGGTTGTTACGCCACCTGAAAAACACCAGAATGATTTCCATCTTATTTCGTTCAATCATAGAACTGCATTAAATGGCTAAAGTAAAGCACCAAAAATTCTAATGAAGCAAACAACTCTCTGTTGATGTTTTTACTCTTTTTCTAGTAACTAAGCAGCAGTTAACGTACATGAAAATAGTGGAGTAGAGTGAAGGAACAGGTCAACTTGGCCTTCATTTAGATATATGAATCAATAAAGACAGCTTAAGATCAACAAAGATCGATATAATGATGGCAATTGCTTTGTCACTACATGCTTCTTTTGATATTGATATGATACTCACCGCAAATAGGTGATCAAAATCTTTTTATTTCAGTGATGCATAATTTTGATATAACAAAATTACCAGCTAAAAGACAACAACAACGGAATGAAAAATAAAAACCAAGAGCAAAGATGATTTTGGAAAATCTTCCATAAAAGTTCAACGATGTTGGATTTCTCATGGATTGATATACAATGTTACAAATTCCCAACAAGTAATTGTAAATGTGCTTCACATGGCCATATTGACTCGATTGTTCCATATATGTATGACCCAAACATAAAGTACCGTAAAGAATATCTTATATTTCTTCTATTTAGTCTATTACATAAACATCCGCTCTCTGAGTTTGCACAATAATGCCTTGGTCTGATTTCTAATAAAAAGAAAACAATATAGAAAAACTACTGATTAACGTATGTTCTTAACAATCATTAAAAAAAAGTATAATAATACTGATGATCTGCGGGCACGGGCTAATGGAGATATAAATAATAGCTCAAATTTCAGATCAGATTCGTGAATGGCAAGCTATGAGACTTGGCTCATGCAAATGTTTGAACAAACAACATAAGATACTGTCCTTCTGTATTGTTGTAGTAATAGCCATGAATAAATAGGAAACAATCGTAGGGTTTTCTCCAAATACATAAAATGTGTAGTTTGAAATGAGCTGGAGCTTCTCAACTCTTGAAGAACGCCATTCACAACATTAAGGCTTGGTTTAGGGCGGCGGTAGAGCTGTGCGCAGCTTGGAAATGCCAATTGGGTATTTGGATACTCCGGCACGGTGACTTTTTACAAAAAGTTAAAAAGCCGAAGGAAACACGGCCGCTGACCATAGGGTGGATTACCTACACGCTATTTTCATGAGAATAGTGACGCTTGAGGAACATTTTTTTTCACTAGATTCTTGTGGAACATTTCCTATTTTCTATTTGTTTATTAACTTTGGACATGCAGTTTTGGACATTTTTCACGAGATGTTTATGAATTTTCATACTCCTTTGGACATTTATGTTGCTTTGAAAATGTCACTTTACTTGAGAGTTTTTTCATTTTTAAAATATTTTCTATTAACTTCAGTAATGTTATTTTAATGTTGGTATTGTTTATAACGTTATATGATTGTAGCTAATTCGTTGTTGTTTATGTGTTAGCTACTATGACACCAAAATAAATGGAAGCTAATAGAGAAAAGGTTAGAATGAGAGTTGTAATTGCAACGTGTTTGATGTACAAGTATTATAACTCTTACATAGAACAATCATCTTATATGACATCCTCCTATGTTGACGATAAATGGGTTGGGGTGCTGTTTGCGGGCCACCCAACTAGATTTAACAATCTGTTTCGCATGACACAAACGGTATTCACCGATATATTGAATGAACTTCAAAGAAATTATGGACATCATGGTCCCACCAGGACGACTTCACCAGAAATATGAGCAGCAACCCTCTACATATTATCACAAAATGAATCAATGCGATGAGCTATGAAACACTTTCAACTTGAATGCACTTGCCAGTTTTTCATCACATATCATAAAGCTAACATATCCGACATTCAAACAGACCCTCAGGAAATTTCGCACGATGTGTGGTATATGTCATACTTTCGGATAATTTCTCTTATTTAGTACATTCAATTTTCATATGAATATAGTAATTACGGAACCCTTCATTATCTATCTAGACTTGTATTGGAGTAATTGATGGTACACAAGTGGATGCACATGTTACAAACAATGAGAAGATCATATTCATCAGTCGTTGTAGGTCACCAACGCAAAATGTCATGGTCATATGCGACTTCAACATGTGCTTTAATTTTTTCATGACTAGTTGGGAAGACATTACACACATGACAATTGAATTTTCAAATATGCAACACAAAATAAAAAATACAACTTCTCACATCCACCACAGATTCGCTTGAGACTGAGTTGGTCACCTTTTTTTTTTACTTCAACACTAATCATTATATTTACACCAGATAAATATTATCTGGTTGATGTTGGGTATCCGTTGCAGCGATGGTATTTGATGTCCTATCTTGATACGAGATACTACATATTTAACTTTGAGCGAACTAATAATATCACACGGGGCAGGAAAGAAATGTTCAACAAAAGGCATTATTCCTTAATTGATGTTATTAAGAAGACTTTTAGTGTTTGAAGAAAGAAATGAGTTATACTTCGCGATATGTTAATTTACCAGTTTCTCAAATAGGTGTTCGTTTTGATTGTCACGATGACTCTTCACAATGATATTCGGCATCATCATTTCTGCAACGACAATGACTTTCGTAGAGAGGACGAGGATCATGCACATGTCTGTGTTAAGGCTATGAGTGTTGGTTTGGACAGTTTTTATCACATGCCAAAAAATGTTCCCGAGACCGGCATTTAAAATAGAGAAGGTGCAAGCGAGATGACAGAGTTGAGAGAACAATTTACGGATATAATGGTTAAATGTTAATTGAAGAAAATGTTATTTTTTATTTCTGTTAATGATAATGATCGTTGAAGACCTATATATTTATTGTATTGGTATTTTATATAGATCATGTATAATTTTATTCCTTATGCATTTGATATTTATTGCGACCGTTTTTTAATGCAAGTTGTATATGTTTTTTTTTTCTTTTTTCATTTTTTTCTTTTGTGGGTCTTGGTCATTGATAAGACATTTGACCTAATGGGTTCTTCTGGATGGTTTGTATGTCGTTATTGATTGTTGTCACATGTGAAATCCTAATGAAGGCAAGTAAGTTCCTCTTTTTTTCGGTGTTATGGTTTTTTTAGGTTCATCTAGATGGTCTTTTTTGGTGATATGCATATATGACACAAATGAGTTTAGTATTACGTGAGTTAAAGACAACTAAAAATTTATTTTATAAAGTTTGTTGTCTTATTGTAGTGACAGATTTGTTGGTTTACATATCAAGTTCTCTGAGCCTCACAGCTGCATAAAACTTTAACGAATTACTTTTGTTATTAATTTTTACTAGTGTTATTCAGGAAGGATGAGCTCGAGGATTTCAGGTACCTCCATAGAATTGTATTGCTACTGCGGACTTCAGTGTTCCCCACTCACTTTGCGTCAGCCACATAACTATGGGAGACAGTTTTACAGTTGCCAACGGAGAATCACAAAAAACTGTGACTATTTTCAGTGGACAAATGACAGGAAGATTCCACCGTCGAGAGTGATCGGGCGTGGAGAATATCCCTGGAGGATGGCTTATCTCGTGACATACGTCGTCTGCATTTAAAAAATAATGTTATTAAATTATTAATTGTTATTTTAATAATCCTTTTCTTAATTTTGGTAGTCATACTACTCACTGTTTAATAAGGTGTCTATCTTTGTTTTGTGATGTTTTGCCCTGAATATTTGCTCTCAAATATGGAATGTACCGGTATGAACAGTGTTGTTGCAAACAAAATTACTGTGCAGGGTCAGAATGATCATTCGCCCAGAAAACAGCTACAGCACAATTGTTTTCAAACTGTAAAAGACAAACAGGCAGCTTATCCATAACAGTTTCTACGCAATTGCTTATTATTAACCTACTACCCTAAACAGACTAAATAGTCTAATAATAACTAAAGCGAACTCCAAATGCATTTGTTTACCAAGTTATATCAAATTGTATTACAACACTGCAATATGAGTCACTCCCACCACCAAAATTGCAATTTGTTTGAGCAGGATTTTGTAATGATAAGTTCCCAAAAAGTTGCTCCACCTTCTGTTGTAATCCAAATAATTTACAACACAATAATAACTATATTACATAACAGCCAATATTAATTGAAATTTATAATATCCACAGCACAAATAAGAAATAATAAACGGCAGCAATATCAAGGTTACCAGCAGCTGCTGCCTTCGTCCCTGCAGAAAAGCCCTCCCACTCGGTCCTTCCAGGCTCATCAAGATGAACATGTCTATATAACAAGAAAGTGAGCAAAAAACATAAATTAACCTTCCAAGCCATCGTCAGATTTGAATTAAAAGTTGATGCAGAAAACAATCCAACAAAAAGGCATGAATTTTGCCCACAGCAGCACACAAATCCTTCTAGTTATAAGATATTCATGCTCAATATACTGAGGAGAAAATCAATAACGTTACAGCTTTTTATTTCCTCTTCTTTTTTTTAGATAACATACTGCTGAACCTCATCCACCCAAATAACGTATCAATTTGTCAAATAAGAGTGACAATATTAAAAATCAATTTAAGTGTTTTAATACATATCTGTGACTAATCTCAGTTAAGACAACTCAAAAGATTATCATACAATGTTATCCATCCTAAGTAAATAAAGATGTTTCCTGGATCAACTACTCATGAAATTCAACTCAAAAAGCAGTGTAAAAAAACCAAATCAAGTGGTAAGCATCGTGCATACACAATTAAAACACAAATTTAGTTGCATTGATCTACGATTTAAGAAAGGCTAGTCAGATACAACGATAAATACTAAAACTTAACCACATGATTTTCGAAATTTCTTAAAAGCTAGTTCAGAACCCAACAACGTCGTCAATCATTTTTCAAAAAATTGCTATTGAAAAGAGGAACAAACAAACAAACAAACATACAAACAAGCAAACAAACATGCATGACTACGCATTCGCACGTACACACTTACGAACACATGCACAAACGCATGCACGAATGCGTACATAGGGCTGTCAATTTGGCTCGTTATTCGTGAACAGCTCGTTGTTCGTGAACAGCTCGTGTTCGACTCGTTAAGCAGCTCGTGTTCGGCTCGTTTGTTAAGCCTAAC